AGAGGAAAAAAGAAAGGGGAAAGACTTTCGGATCAAACCCATTCATCCTGAAGGGGATGGGAGAGTTTGTTGAGATCAGGTTTGATTGCTGTTCCTGTTTGTCACCATTTATGTGTGTATTCACGGTGTTTGCGAGGTGGACAATTGAGTGTGGAAAACAATTGTCATGTTGTGCGCAATACACAAAATAATCAAATGGGAAAATTAGGATTAGACACACATAGGAATGGAGAAGGCGATAGGTAGCGGACACTATTAATCAGCTTCCCTTCCTTATATTTCACATCCGATCTTATTATCCATTTCCTTATCAAAATCGAGAAAATCCTGCGTTCTGGAAGGGAAAGGATGGAAATTTCTTGTGATCAGAAATTGTTATCAGTGATAATACTGCTGGTAATGATTATTGCTATGCCTTTCCTGTTATAGTGATTGAGTGATATCAATATCACCTTTTAACTTAAGTGTGCTATGTTGCAGTTAGCGTGACGCTGAAACAAACATAAACAGAGATCGGAAAAAAAATTGCCTCTGTATCTGAATTTCAACCTGAATTAAGTGCAATACATTTATCTCTTAAGATTACATATGCATTTATAAATTTAGCCAAATTTAAACTCAAAGAAGTTACAGCAATCAACTAGATTAATTATTGGTCAGTTACTTATTATGAATGAACCGTTATCTGGATTAGATCTACAAATCAGGAAAATTTTATTCCAGCGAGCTACTCATAAACTTAGCAAACGCGATATTTCATACTAAAGATAGTTCTCAAATAAAGCATTTTATCAGAGATAGTGTTTTCAATTTGAATCACGCAGCACTTAATCAACGGAATGAAAAATGCGAGTTATGTTAGCTTTGAGCTGCTTCTACAGCTGGGAAGGAAATGTTGAAGATTGAAAATGTTACAAGAGAAAGATTGTCGAATTCCTCTACATTCTTCTTTTTCATTCCAAGCAACAGCAACAGAATTACTTCATTTTATTCTGTTAATATCGTTTATCGTCATATTTTATGTGAGTATATTTGCGATTTCCATCATTAAATTGTTCTTGAATAATGCCCATCCTTTTTACTTTCTAACTATGGTTAATTCTAATATTAGAATTTAATTGGCCAGTGGTGATGATCAAATATCTAATTCGTAGATTAACGGATTATTGGGAAAGAGTGGTGATACAATATTTTCAAAGTTAATTCTCGGTTCAATTCTATAGGTTAATACCACAGGATCGCTTCTGAATAGACTATCGAGTCCGTAATCGGTATTACATATATAGTTGCACTGATTTTGGTGCTACGAGGATTGAATAAGGATCTCAAAATTACGCAGACACTAGTGTCGATATTCCAATAATTTTAGATTCTTATTCACCATTCAGTCTTGTATTGATCAATCAGCATTGTCTTAATGAAGATTTTTTTTTCTACTAAAGAATTTCAAAGCTATAAGGCTAAATTGCAAAAACTAATGATTACATTAAAAACAGATGAGTAAAACAAGAATGCAAGAAAAGCATTCGAAAAATTGACTAGTGATTATTAACTCTTTAAAGAGATTAAAACATTCTGTAGGGGACTCTGAGGAAAGAATTTGGAAAATTAGAAAGTATCAGGTTTGTGTTGTTTCCTCATTAATTTTATCTTCTTAATTGTAAACTCACATCAGCTTTTCTTCACTGTCAGTTTGCTGACCCTGCTAGAAAAACTCTTGCATGACATAAGTGTTTTGAAAGTTGAAAGATTCGTTTGATTTATTCCTTGCTGGTCAGTTCGAGAATGCTGATGAATAATTCGAGGCATCTCGTTTTTTCTTTGATAATTCTTCTCTTGATCTTTTGGTAATTGTTGATCTAGAAGATGAGATCCATATCTTTAATTTCATCAAGTAGCTTCGTCAGTTTTTCTTTAGCTAGTTGAGCAATTCTAATAATGGTAGCTGCCATCGTCCTATTGCGGCTCGTGGCATCAAAATTTTTGTTGTAAAAACTGCGTTATGTAGGAGTTTGTAGGTTTGACAACTATGAATAGTTATGTGAAGGGCTTGTGGACTTCGAAATATTCATTTTCTTAATGTAAGCAGAAGTAGTGAAAAAATGTCGGCGAATAACAAATCGGTATCGATATTTGTCTGGGTTTGAAGTCCTTGTAAATATGGTTAGAGGGATTTTGTTGTGCGCTACTGGTTGAGGAGTAGTCGGCATCCAAACTCAAAACTCTTACACTCCGTGTCTCGTATATATGGAAGTTCGTTTGCAGCAATCCAAGAGATTAAAACAGATTGACCAGGAGTTCTTTATAATATTTCGACGTTTTCACATAATAGGATTATGCTAAAGATTCTTTGTAATATGCAACGGATTGACCATAAATTCCTTGCAGTGTGCTAGCGTTCTCACATAATTAGATAAGGTTATACCAGAGATTCTTTATTAGCCAAATATTGCTTACAATATATCGACATTAATTTTATATTACAATAATTTCGGTTTTACTGACAATAAGTGTAGTGATATTTTCGTTTAAAACGTTTTTTTTTTTTTTTTTTGTCACTACGTAACGGAAATGCAACGATGGAGTGACTCTGAAATTATTCTCATTATCTTTCATTGGAAATCAAGATCAAAAGGGTGCAGTGATCAAAAGGTTTTCAGAAACTATTCATTTAATCTAATTTCATTGTGTTCTTTATGCAAATTTTTATTTTATGTCATTTGATTAAATTTTTCCAAGATGGTAGAGTGATAAGTGGAAATTGAGCTGGAAATGAAACTGGATTAGAAGAATTTGAAATCAGACAAACCTATTTATGATCATACCCTATTGTGTTGACAAAACATCTAGCACCTGTTACTAAAAATATTAAATTGCTATTAGCCTACTCGTTACTTAATTTTTGGTGAACAAAATAAAAGTATCATAATGTAATTTTTAGTGACCAAAAGGTTTTTATAAACTGTTCATTTAGTCGAATTTCACTGTGTTTTTTACGCTAATTTTGATGTTATGTCCGGTAAATGTGCTTTATATAACACATTCCAGATTTGTAAATTTAGTGAAAGATACAACAAATGTGGAATATGTCAAACTGATCGTATCCTGCCTAGACTACAGTGCTGAGGATTCTTTCAGTCGCTTTATTCTTCAAACAGCTCTCACCAGTGCTAGTGTGGTATTCTTTTTTTTAAATCAAGTTAATTTTTCTTAAAAATCAGGTTAATGTCTCTTTTTGAAATCTGGGTAAAAAGAGCAGATGCTGAATAATAATGGATGATACTGATTCGTTTGCTTATGCCTATTTAAAATTCACGGATCGATTTTATTCTGAGAAAATCTGTTGTACTTGTCGATAAGGCAAGAAAATGTAGCGGATGTGATATCGTCAAAAATTCACGATTATATGTATGTATGATGGAGTTCCTTTGCTGCTATACATTAACTGTCCTGGTATTGGTCCACGATCCATTCCATTTGCTGCTTATATTTTTACAGTTTTGGCTGTTGCAGAAATACTAGATGATGTTGGAATGGATAAGAACTTTTATTTTCCGGAAGTATTGAGTGTTTGTTGTATTGAAAGACACTCACTTTTAGGCTGGTAGGAAATGGACAACTCAATTTTTGAGCATTTTGGTGTCTCATAATACCAGTGATTTCTCTGTTTGGGTGATAAAGTTGTTATTGGGACAACTCGCAGATTCCTCAGCAAAGGTTGTCCGACACGCGTTGCGTCTGTTACATCGTTGGATACCGGTATGTCGGCTGATTTGATTTCTTGGTATTTTGCGTAATTTATATTCTTTAAAAAATTTGACGACGATTATTTGACAATCTTCTTTCAGCTCTTAAACCTTTTCATTACCGAAAAATGGATTGGAAAATGACTGAGCTACTAATTCTTGAAAATAAGATTAAAAAATGACTTAAACGAAGTAAATGAACAACTAGGAACTAATCTACATAATGTTTCTTTTATCTACACACGATCAAAATGTTGGTGCACAAGTGATTATTACTGATATCAGCTTAAACTTGACGATTGCAATGTTTATTTGCAGCACTATCCAGAGAGTGTTTATCTAATCAAAGGCATACGTTTCGATGCATTTGGTGATGCAGGAACTCTGCTAAAAACATACCTTTTCTCTAGTGAGAGTTACGTAAAGAACAATTATCGTGATACCCTCGCAACTCTGGATTATTGGAAAAGGGTTCGAGCTGAATCAATTTTCATAACTTAGGAATTTAAAGATTCTGCGGAAAGCTCTGTGAGAAACGTATAGATATGAAAGACATCATTGAGTAAATCTGCATAAAGAACTCGATTGCGTATGAAAACGTCAGGTGTATGGGAATTTAAGTTTATTTCTGCAATTTCGCGTAGCGTAGTTTTCGCTTTTTTCATTTGGTTAGTTGGCGTGATTTAATAAGAAATTAACTTCCTTCATTAGTTTTGGTTGATAGTCAAATTATTATTTAATTAGTTTTATTCGTTATAAATTATAATAACCCTTGCAAATTTGCTCTTTAATTTGCAATAAACTTTGAAATCAGTATTAATTCCTGTGGTTTGTTATCTATAGAAATTCAATATACGTTACGTCGAGATTATTGATGAAGATGTCAGGGTTGCTTTGTTGGATTCGAAGCGTTCAATCGATGGACGTTATGCAAGGTCTTCAAATGAGCGGTTTGTTCATTGATAGTACAATAAAACTGTTCATAACTTTGCATTACTGTTGTTACTCGGCCAAATTCCAGTAACAAAAGATATGCATGACTAATTTTCTGGGAACTCAAAACCCTCAATACTATCTTTAACACCAACTGTAATGTGGTAGCTAATATTGCGAAGACCGTTTGTTTATTGTTCATTAACCTGACCAAAACTCATGAGGTCCTGTGCGATTTACAGCACATTTCTTATGGATTCTTATGGAAATGAGAAATGAAAATGCGCAGGGCTTTTGTTTTGTGATTCTTTTTTTTAGAACAAGTCCATCATAATGCACGAGATTCCATCCATTGTTGTCTTACAGATTTTATAAATGGCAATCACAAATTAAAAACGAAATTTAATATTTTACACCCAATGACTCTTTTAAGTTTAGGACTGGCAAACTGGGTGTACCAATGCCAGTACACCTTTATGGACAGCTAGCACAACATGACACTGGTCGTGGACTACTTCTGAGATCAAAGGAAGTTGAGCGATTGCTTGATGTTTTACGTGGCTCACCTTTACCAGCAGATACTTATCAGACATCCAAATTAAAAGGTGCGCTGTACGCTCTGGGGCATATTGTTGTCACTCTGAATCCGAGTAAGTTCTGCAAAAAACTTTTTACTTATATGTTTAAATGACTTTATGTTTTCCACATTCGGTGCAAAAATCTTTTCAGGTTTTTTGCCCGTGGAAACAGTACCAATTATATGTCGTTTTGCTGAGTGTTGTCCAATCCTTAGTATTCGAGGCACAGCTTTCTGGGTCCTTAATCTTATTGGCAACACAGAACGTGGTTAGTAAATCCAAACGTTGATTTTATGACTATAACCTATATTTTACTCCTATGTGTAATTTTAGGGATGTAAAAGTTAGTCGATTCAAGTTTGACGGAGTAATTTTATGGTTTATTTCATAACTATATAAGGAGTGTTTGCAAACTAGTATGTGCTGTATCAGCCTTGGATCAAATTATGGACAGATAAAGATAATGAGCTTACAGCATAATCTATAGCATAAAAGCATAATGAGCTTACAAGATATTGAGGTGTGAAGTCAGTTACCTAAAATATTATTTTTCTTCTCCAGGTTCTACTTTGCTCCTATCACTAGGATGGGAAAGCAGCAACTTTATTGTCACTAAGAGAAAATCGAATATGTTGCTTTTTAAGGCAGCTAATATAGATATAAATAAAATCTGGATTCAATGCATCGATGGAAAGCTTCTTTCGCAACATGAAATAAGCTTAAAAGATAAGGTATAGAAATTACTTCTGGAAAAGAGTCATTTCATATTTCAGATGTTAAATACAAAATTTCACTTCGCAAATATCGTATAGTTATCGGCTTTATTTTGTCGGGTTTTGTTATTTCTTTTAAGTACTTCCAAATTTTATTGTTGTTTAATAATATGGTTCTACTTGAGGATATTCTAAATTGCCATAAGATTCACATTTTATCTTTTCTCATGTTGCATTTAGTTTCTACAGCGTTGAAAGTTGCAGACTTTTATATGCTATATACAAAAAAAAAAATTTCCTTAGAAAACTCTTATCATCCTTAAGAGTCCAACATTTATCACGGATAAGAATGGGATTGTTTCGTTTATTGATAGTAATGACCTTGCGGATGGCGTGGGCTATAAATCCAAATGTACCTGTGCAGTAGATGCAATAACAATAAGTGGCCAAGACTCTACAGTGGATAAGCTCGGTAAGAAATTTGATGCTGATTGAAAGTGGGAAAGTTCATATTGTTTGGCAATACAACATCTTGGAAACAAGGCTATGACCCATCATTTCCCATCTTATTTTCATTACGTTTTTACATCAAACATTAGGTTCAATGCTTGATACCTAATATAGCATTTAATAATTGAAAACCCCTCCTACTAAAAAAAAAAAAAAAAAACTCCTGAAAACCCTCTCCTCTGTTGATATCGTTGCAAATATATTTGTTATCAATAAGTAATTTAGATTACGGAGCATTTTGGTACGGGAAATTGAATTATCCATTTGGAATTCGTCATTTTCCTTGGTGTACGACTTTTGAACCTGAAAATCATTTGTTTGACCATGACACTATTAGTACAATGGGAACGGTGGGTATAGGCTTTAATCGTTTTTATTTTTGTTTGTAGTTACCGTTCAGGTTTCACGATTTTAATTCTAATTAATTGCTTCTTATTTGAATAGCTATTACCGACACTTCTACATGTTCTCGTCCATACGATGCATGATATTATGAGAAATTATTATTTTGGCAATGAAGTCCTGGTGCATTTTGCAGGATAATTACAATATAACTAGAATTTTAAATATTTTTTATTTTATAGACAGAGGAAGAAATCATAGATTGCTTAATGATTCGCAGTAAATTTCGTCTGCCTCCATTTTCTCTTGATAGAGCGTTCACATTTAGCAGTTCTTTTGAGTCTCCAATAAATTGTACTGCTATGTCAAATGATAAGGTAATTTGTTTATTTGTTTTTAACTGCTTTGTTTCAAAGTGTCAACAGTTGTTTCTAAAAACTTGTTTAACTGTTTCCAATAAGCAGAAATTATAGATTATAGAGGTGCCAATAAAAATAAGCAGAAATTATAGATTTTCAAACCTATCTTTTTTCTGTCATGAAACGATTATGAACGATGGAAAAATGCTTCTATTAGTTTTACTTTCTACAAGATGGCCACGACTATCAGATTTCTTCAAAATAGGTTGTAGTGGAGAGGAACATACTAATTTTCATCTCAATCATTACAAAAGCAATTGTTTATTGGAAATGTTTCAATACATACCACAGTAAAAGTTTTTATGACCATAAGTTCAGTTTTTATTTTGCTGTGGCTTTCGTTATCTTATGGAAAGTGAACATACAAAACCTTCGAGGAAATCGGATTCAGAAACGACAGGATCTCCGCCAATCAGCTTGTTCGGTCAGTCCATATCACTCCCACGTAGTCCTGATCTTTTTTTAAGGTCAGTCGTCGTTTCATGCTTTTTATTCCTTTCCCTTTCTGGTCTTTTTGCGAAGTAATCAAAAACTACTTTGAATTTTAACTCTCAGTTTTAACTCTCAGTTTTAACTCTCAGTATTACTGAGATGTTGACCGAAGGATAACTTAGTAGTTTCTAATTCTGTATTAAGTTCATTCAGTCGAGTTAAAAAAGCTATTAGTAATATGCAATATTAGAGGACATAGACCATATACAGTCCATAGACCATATACAGACCATATACAGTTC